TGCTGTTACAGATTCTGTACTTAGCATTAGAGCTATAAGACATGTAGAAGACTTTAACAAAGCACCTTCACAGCAGCTTGACTTTAAACATTTCTGCACAGACAGTTCAGATTGAGATGTTAGTTCAGTGTAGGAGTGTTCACTGTCGGTCTCTTTATATCCGCGCTGTAAGAGACGGTCTTCTTCGGTGTGTGTCAGGGGTGTGCTGAGGAAACAGAACCGTGTCTCAGAGCAGCTCGGGGCCTGTTTACAGTAAACTGCTGATGGTCTAACACTGCCAGTCTTTATGTCTGCGGCTCAGCGGGGGATCGCAGGATTCACTTGTGCATGCAAAAGGTCACGAGCACGCACACACACACACACACACACTCACACACACACACACACACAGTGAACTTGACCCCATGTGACTGAAAGAGTGTCTGTGGGGGGAGCACATGATGGATGTGCTGTAACATCTTCTTGCAGAGAGACTAATGTTCAGATAGGAGTCAGGATGTTTTATTACACAGTCTCTGTTTCTGATAGGCTGAAGGGTTTCAGTGAACTCCTGAGAATGAGACAGGTGAGGGGTTCAGGTAAGAATTGTAACCTCTCAGATTAAAGCTCTGGCTGTCAGCAGTTAGCTCCTCTGTTATTCACTTTATGCAGCTTATTAACAAGCTGACATGCAATTAGAACAATGAGGGACTTGAACATTTCTCTAAGGCCCCGTGTCCACCTATCTGTGCGCTCAGGAGCTCTTGTACAGTATGAAGCGTTTGTGTGCTGAGAAGAAAAATGCTACACGTCCGTCCTGTCTCTATGACAACAGTCTGTTGACAATGTCCACTGTATGACCGACACTGTTACATTTTTTAAATTTGAGATTGTTTTAATTATGTAGCAGAGAGGATGTGGTTACAAGACATGATCTATAGGTGGCAAAAATACGGGGAATATCATACATTTGGAAAATCACGCCGGAGATGTCAACAGCGCCTTTCTAAAAAAGTTGAAAGATTTTCAACTCCAAGTGCTCAGAGCAGCCGCACAAAAAAGTCGGAGCACTCCGGGGAAAAAAATGCTAGGAGTTGTGCTTTTTCTCTCCAGGCAGCCACCTGCTGCTGCAAACGCTCTCTCCTCATTGAAAACAACTTTAAAAAAGACGCTGTTGCTCAGGAACAAAACGCTAGGTGGACACAGGGCCTAACCTGTTTGTAAAAATGAAAACAGCTGCAGAGAGAGTAACTCCAAAAAGAAAGAGAGAATCTCTCTTCATCTCTTTGGCCCTCCGTTTTTTCTGCAGAAAAGCTATCACCAAATAAATTCATATATGCCAAACACTGAACGAGCTAACAAGCAGGGGGTGGTGAGCGCAGACACAGATAGCTGCTCAGTGGAGCTAACACATAATATTGAAGAATTTGACTATGAAGTGGAGCATGTCTTTGAGTGTTTCTCAAACATTTCCTGACTGTTTGTCTCAGCTTGCATGAAGCACCAGATGGTTTGCATTCAGCTGATTCATCACATCAACAGATTCAGGCGGTGTGAGGTAACCTGTCACTCACAGTTCAGTTACATAAATAACTGTCAGTGCGCTCCATCATCCTGTGAAATCATCCCAGACACTTTGGCGCTCTTTAAAAAAAAAAGCCACTAGAGGAATCCTGTGAAACTTTCACAATACTCTGATCTGTGAAAACTCGTCGGAATAACTCGTAAATCTCAGTATTTTTAGACTTGACCCCCGAGATTTATGTGCTGCTTTCATAATTGATTCCAGGCAGTTTATCTTCAGTTCATTACGCAGCAGAAGGTGACCTGCTGGAGAATCTCATTTGCATTTTTATCTCCCATCATGCACCATGTGTGAGAAGGCCATGTCTCCGAGGGGTGTATCAGTGTGATCGTGTCGGACTGAGTCGTGTAGTTGTGACTCACCGAAAGGCATCCGGGTGAAAAACTGTCATGTGAGCTGATGAAACTCTCTGTGAGACAGCGGGAAGGTGAAAACGTGCGGTTTGTTTGATCTCCGGGATGTGGACAAAAAGTGTCCTCGTCATTCTGTTAGTCATGTCTGATCACTGGAGATCCATTGATCGCCGGTGTCTCTGAGTTAGCGGCAGAAACCCATCCAGTCAGGAGAAGGAGTGCGATGGATCATGAATATTCATGTGTGTGTCAGTCGGACACTCTGTCAGAAGGATTTATGTCTGGAGAGGACAAGAGAGGGTCTGATCTGACACACAGAGGACAGCCTGCGTCCCTGAATTAGCCGTTTACACAACACAGATATCGGAGATGGCAGTGCGTCTCTGTTTCAGTGTCTTGTGGCGACGCCCTCCCCGAATCTGAAATAATCTGTAAGTGTTTCTGGCAGTGAGAAGGGAAGCTGCTCTCGTGTGAAGGTCATAAACTGCACGGTCCTTTTATTATTATAGCTCAAGTCCTAGTGAAGTTTTTACTTAAAGCGTTCCAAATGTAACAACCAATTCCTCTCTTTCTGAACCGGGGCAGTTACTATTCAGCATGTTTTGACTTCTAAATGACTGACAGGTACAAAACGTTTCAGAATTACTTCAGTATCGTGATGCTGGTGGTGCCGTGGTTAGTGCGCGCGCTCCCATGTATGGAGGCTGTAGTCTTCCAAGCGGGCAGACTCTATCCACTATCCTATCTCTCCATTAAAGGCACAAAAAGCCCAAAATAAAAAAAAATAAAAAAGTAAAAGAATTACTTCAGTTTTGTTTTGCTTCAGCCTGCAGCAGAGAAACAGGCTGGAACGGCTGCAACATCATCCTAAAGTTCGCCCACTATAAATTAACGCTCATGTCACTGTTGGGCTCAGATTGTTATTCTGAGTGTTGGATTCGATTTTAAAGATAAATGCAGGTATCTTAGAGGACTCATTTTACCTGACCAAAAGGTTAACAAAGTTTGGACATGCCTTCAGTAGATTGCTTCAGCCTGCAGCAGCATAACAAACTGTAATGGCTGCAACCAAATCCTTAGACTGTCCACTAAAAGTTGTTGTCCTTATCTCTCACAGGCTCAGTTATTCTAAGTGTTGTTGTACTCGTAATCAGTCTTGGCTTTTTGAAGGTCTCGGTCTCTTCTTGAAATCTAAAGCATATTTACTCGGCCTTGTCTCGGTCTCAGACTGGATAGACTCTGGATTTTGAATCAAGTCTGGTCAACACCACCACTGATAGGCTTCTTTCTCACGCCATCACTGTGATTAGAAGGAAAATGCCTCTTTCCAAAAGAACAAATAACTTAATCTCATTCATAGTTTGATTTTTATCCCTCAGTTACAGCCGCAACCTTCCTGCTGTTCTGGTCTAAGTGAGTGACACGCCCCCTAAACGCAAGATGATGATTTTTTGTTGATATTTATGTTCTTTGTCTTGGTCTTGACTCAGTCTCGATCCATAAATGTCTCGGTCTTGTCCCGGTCTTGGAGCACTCTGGTCTCAGGTCTTGGTCTCAGTTAGTGTGGTCTTGACTACAACACTACAGTCTGCCTTACAGAGAGGATCCCTGCAGAGACCTTTTTGTTACAGAGGAAGATGAGTTCTTTAACCAGAAGCATCTGTTACATCACTCTCTTCAAAAACACCAGACTCCATTATTAAAAACATCATTTTGACCTCACAGAACACAGGAGTTGTTGATCTACTGCCTGTGGTGGATCCGATCTAAACACTTGAACCAAACAGACTAACTCCTGGATGTAGTGTTAGTCCAGTAGAATAACAACTCCTTTGTTCTTACCAGTGGAATCAGGAGAGGATTACATTAAAGCCTAAATCAGTCTACTAAAGCAATTCAGAACCTTTTCGTACTTTTTAGTGATTGAGATTATGGTTGCATGGTAACAGAATTTAGATGTATAAATGATACTAATAAAAATCAAACAATATAGATACCTGCTTCATGCTCGAATACAAGTTGACGGTGGGTATTAACGCAGCGGCTCCTTTCTGTTGAAAACGCCATCCTGAATTTTGTTCTATCTACTATGACAAATAAACTTCCTTATGTCCTTAATTTCTTGTTTATGATCACCAAAATTGCAGACAAACTCCTTTACATGCACACTGTCTAAAATCCACAAAGACATCCCCAATTTAAACTCCTCAAAAAAAGTTAGGAAATGTTGTTTCGGTCAGTTTAATAATATATACCAACAGAAGAACACTGCAGGGGATTTTGACACATTTCTGTAGGGCGCTACCCACACGTTTAGCTGTGTTGCTCATTCCACTGCTACACGATCCTTACAAGTTATACCTCGTTGTAAAGGTGAATATTCAGGCTTTCCAACGCTATGTAATACAACACCAATTAATATTACTGAAAAGGTGAAATAGCTGACCGACAGTGCTCTCCATCTTTTATTTGCTGCCACTTTTGGTTTGAAACAAGACTTAAGGGGTGCTGGTAGCCTAGTGGATATGTTGCACGCCCCATGTACAGAGGCTGTAATCCTCGTCACAGGGGCCATGGGTTCAAATCCAGCCTTGGCCCCTTGCTACATGTCATCCCCCTCTCTTTCCTCCCAACACTTCCTGTTTCTCCCTCAGCTGTCCTATCCAATAAAGGCAAAACATGGCCCAAACATATCTTTAAAAAAAAGTTATTTTAAAGCTTCAGTACTGTTTGATAGTATTCATCATTGAAACCATAAAGCTTTTATTTTATCAAAACATGTTGTATTGAAAAGTACAGAAATATTGGCAGCCTATTTCCAAAGAAATGTAGACCCCGGGCTTCTCTTTAATATCCCGTGTTATATATAAGTAATATTTTTAACACCTGAGGAGCTAGCTTATCACAGTCTAACGTTAGCTCTCCTGGCTGCAGTGAGGACTGAAGGAGCTCCACATTCAGAGCTCACTTTTTGCACACTTTAATAATTCATGAACAATAAGGAACAGGAAATGAGTCCTGTCTTCTGTCCTGACCTCCTGTCCTCCTCTGACCCAGAGTGTTTCTGTCTCGTCTTCCTCCAGGAGGACTACGACCGTCTCCGGCCGCTCTCCTACCCCATGACCGACGTCTTCCTCATCTGCTTCTCGGTGGTGAACCCCGCCAGTTTCCAGAATGTGCGTGAAGAGTGGGTGCCCGAGCTGCAGGAGTATGCACCCAGCGTCCCCTACCTGCTCATCGGCACCCAGGTGAGAGCTCCTATACTCTGCTCACTGCTCAGCTTTGATCTGCACCTTTTTATTCATACTGTATGTATAATGTCTGAATAATCTGGAGAACAATCAGATATTCTTCCCTTTCCTCTGTTATTTACACTCGTGTAACGTGTTGTAACTGTTATGAGGATCAAGATTTTGTGCTGAAAATCTTATAACCTGGTTCTTATGCAAAAAAAAAAAAAAATACTGTTGATGTTCTTCTGTTGCTCATGTGGAAAAGGTCCATTTGTTTAAAGAATTTTGATGCATTTTTTGCCTTTATTGTATATGACAGCTGAAAGAGACAGGACATTTTGGGAGGAGAGAGTGGGAGTATGGGAGACATGCAGCAAAGGGGCGAGGTCAGATTTGAACCCACGGCCGCTGCAACAAGCACTATGGGGCGCATGACATAACCGCTAGACTATCAGCGCTCCAATGTATGTCTTTTTTTCCACATAAGCCCAACCTCCAACCCCTCCAACTGTTAAAGAGTAAAATAGAAGTAATGGACGTCCAGACCGGAAAAACTACTTTTTGGTCTAAAATGATTAAAAGTAGTAAGAATTGCTCTGACATGTTGCCAATGTATGTGTGCTATTTAGACAATGTGCATGGGTTTGCCTGCAGTGTTTGCCGACCCAGTATGAGGCGCTTCAGGTGTGTGTGTGTGTGTGTGTGTGTGTGTGTGTGTGTGTGTGTGTGTGTGTGTGTGTGTGTGTGTGTGTGTGTGGATACTTAGCATCGAAGAGTGCTTTGACTTTTCTCCCCGACTCTCACTGTGTCTGTTTTTATTTGACTTTTGTTGTTCTCCTCGTGCATGTGTGGGTTCTCTTCAGGTACTCCAGCTTCCTCCCACAGTCCAAAGACATGCTTGTTATGTTAACTGGTGACTCTAAATTGTCTGTAGGTGTGAATGTGAGTGCGTCTGGTTGTCTGTCTCTGTATGTCAGCCCTGTGATTGGCTGGTGAACAGTCCAGGGAGTGACTCCGCCTCTCGGCCCATGATAGCAGGGATCAGCTCCAGCCCCTCAGCGACCCTGAGCAGGAAAAGCAGTGTAGATGATGGATGGATGGATGGATATGTCTCCAACAGGGTCAAAACTTTCACATCCTAAAGCTCCATGAAGGAATTTAAAGGCTTAAAGAAACAGAGAGGGATTTACATTGGACCTCCAAATCTGCCCGGTAACATCAGAACTCCACATCTAGACTTCATTTCCTCCCCGGTACTGATCTCTACCTCTGAGTTTATCTTTGAATCAGACATTTTAAAACCAGAAATGAACTCATAAAACAGAAGCTAAAGCCGAGCTCATGTCTCGTAATCTTCACTCAAGTCATGAACACGTTAACAGACGACAGTAATCCTGAGTGTTAGCTTCTTTATAAGACTTAAAACCATCTAAAGATATCAAACGTCCTCTGAGGAGAGAGAGCCTTGTGGGTGATTTTTAGGTCCGTGTTCCCTGGCAACCAAATGCCAGAGCAGGCGAGGCCCCGCGGTGATGAAGAGGAGGATGAAGATGGAGTGGGTGTCTGATTTATCTTCTGTCAGCTGATGTTTGCCGAAAGTCTACTAGTTTCTCTCTCTCTGCTCAGCTGGACGGTCACACACACACATCAATCAGGAGGAGGTTAATGAAGGTCGCTCGCTGTGAGGTAGTGAGGGAGATTTCATTTATCATAACTGTTGTTTCACAGACACAGGACAGAGAGAGAGAGAGAGAGAGTGAGGAACTTTGTGGTCGACTGTGAAATGTTTTTGCACAACAGCAGGAAGTGTGACAACATGTCAAGATCAGTAAAACACAGTCCGTTATACGGTTCTGGATGTGTTTGGGGAAGATGTTGTAACAGCTAGGGTTGTCAAAACATCACATTGTCAAACTGAGACGAGTAAAGATTAAATCATAGATACCTGTTTCGCTACCACCGCAACAAACTTAGAAGTCTTAAGCACAAAATACTGGCTCATGCAAACTCATGCATGTTGTCTCAATTGCACAAAAACGTTGGCAACATTTAGGTACCAAAACTTTGCCAACGTATTTGTGAAATTTGAACAGCGCTCTCTCTCTCTCTCTCTTTCTCTCACAGCAGCTTGTGGTTAAAAACACGACTGAAGATCTGTAGTTTTTTTAAAGCATTGGTACATTTCAATATTAACGCTCTCTAAAATAACAGAGATTGTGTCATTTGTTAAATAGGTTACGAGTATTTTAAATAACCTGAGTACGTTTTATTGAGCAGAATCTGACAGGAAGTCGGTAACAACCTGACAAAAGGGGTTTAAAGGTTTCCCCCAAAATTCAACAAATCTGTGGCATTGTGAACAAGGCAGGTGAAACTGGGGTGCTGGATAGCCTAGTGGTTATGTTGCATGCCCCATGTATAGAGGCTGTAGTCCTTGTTGCAGCGGCTGTGGGTTCAAATCCAACCCTGGACCCTTTCTGCACGTCATCCCTCTCTCTTTTCTCCAAACGTTTTCTGTCGAAAATGTCCCAAAAATGTCTTTCAAAAAAAAAGTTTCAATCTGGATCAGAATGATCTGAATTTGTGAATCCACTTTTTTCCCTATCACGGATCACATGATCCACCTCATGAACCACATGAAAACTGGATAAGATCACAGATACAGATACAGACGGCAGTGGTTCTCAAACTGTGGGGTGCAACCCCAAAGGAGGGCGCAGAGACAAGACAGTGGGAGGGCGCTTGTGGCCCTGGTGGGGGCGTGTCTAGAAGCGTGGCAGGTAGTGGTCTGGGCTCTGCTTGTGATCTGATCTGGCCACCCAAGCTGCTTTTCCAAAATCACAACCCCCTCATTTACAGAGTGAGCTGCATATGTGAACAAAAACAGACAAATTTTTTAAACTCTGGCTCTACTTTTCCCTCCGGTCAAGTTTCTTTACGAAGTCGGAGTGAGCTGATGTGTGAACACAGCAGGAAAATTCACTGCAACAAGCGGGAGTAGGTGGTAGTGTTTATGTCCTGCGACTGCCTGTGATCTTCAAGCACGTACTGACAACTTTATTATGTTTTCTGTTTGCCTTTATGTTCCTCTCCGCTCGTCTGTGATTTTATGGCACTACAGGTAGCACTGATAAAAAGGCAGAACTGTCATCATAGTGACAGACTCTGTTGCTTCATCTGCCATCCACCTGTCTTCCTTTTCAAAATCTAAACTCACCCGCTGTGAGGTGCATGTGGCAATAGACAACTTAGGAAGACTTCAGGGGCGTTCTGTCTGACATCAGGGATGCATGTGTGAAAACAGCTTTAGAGTCTCTGAAGGGGCTGCACACTGAGCTGCTGCTAACACATGCAGAGCTTCTGTTTGAGTCAATTTTTCACAGTCTTCAACGTTCCCTCGGTTTTCATCTGGGCCCGGTTTTCTCCATGGTCCCTTTCTACAAATGGACAAGACCGAGAAAGCAGTTTCCCCTGAACAACTTGTGTCTCTCTGATGTTCTCTGGTGGAGCGTGGAGGGCTCAGAGCCGAGCTGCCGCTAACCGTAGCTAACTAGCTGACTTAGAAAAAAAACCCAGCAAAGGTTTATGGCTGATGATGAGGATAAGGTGAAACAGAACAAAAGACGCCTCTTGGAGTAGATTTCATACTGAGCAGAAAAGTCTCTCTCTCTTTTTCAGATTGACCTTCGTGACGACCCGAAGACCATCGCCAAACTGAACGACATGAAGGAGAAACCCATCGCCATGGAGCAGGGACAGAAACTCGCAAAGGAGGTTTGTACGTTAATCCTCCTGAAACAGCAACGCGATCTGGAGCTTTCAGTCGGTTTCCCGGGTTGTGACCGCTCCAGCTGGATTCCTGCGTGTTGATTAGATGCAGGAATGTCTCAGAGAAATGTCTGGAATCAAACCTCTGCAGATTCTTTTACCCGAAACGAGTCCAGCAAATATTCTGGGTCAACGCCGAGGTCCAGCAGAGTCTGAGGCCTGCAGGACGCAGAACCCACATGTGGTCTGATTTTAATCCTTTCTGTCAGGCTGAGAATAAAGGTCAACTGTTCAAACAAACTGCACTCACTTAGACGTTGATCTGTGTGCTGTGAGACTAAAGAAAGGATTTAAAAAGCTAATTACGTTTTTGGAGGATTCAAGGGTCCATTTGATAATATTTAAGTTCAGTCATTTTAGCAACTTTCTTCAGTTTGAGCCACATTTTTTCTCTTACACAGAGAGAAATGTGATGATGGTTCTTGGCACACTTGCAGCAAAAATTGCCCTCAATGTCTGACCTTTTCTGGAGACATGGTTGAGAATGTATTTTGTAAAAGATCACCAACATCGACTACATGCCTCGTTAGAAATGTAATTTTTCATGTGTAAAGTTGGAACTAGAAATAGTTGCATTTCGGTTGTGGTGGTCATGTGGTAGCTAGTATCAGCATGGTCCCTACCTGGAGCTTGCATGTAAGTATTCAGGTACCGTGCCCAAGTGCACTTGAAGAGGTGGTCTCGGGCACATGTGTACTTGAGTACGGTCCACGGGAGATGTTAACACAACCGTGCTCAAACAAGGAAGTGCACCGCTAAATGACACAACTCTAAACCTCTTAAAAAAACATTGTATCCTCACAGCACGGGCCCGCTCGTCCTCTGAGCTGCACGGTAGATGAGGGTAGGAAGAGGAAGAGGGTTGTTGTTGGCGTCTCAGAAATAACAAAAACATCCACGGGTAACATGACAGACTCAGCTCACGAGTGGTTGCCATGGGTGCTTCTTCTTCTTTCTGCTGTTTCGCTGAATTCGCAAACCAACTATGTGCATACTGCCCCCTGCTGTATTGGAGTGTGAACATATGCAAGTTTTCTTGGAACGAAGTGACTCATGATGAACAGCAGTGATGCTTGTGCACGGTACTAAAACAATCCTGCCTGATGTGAAAACGCCCTGTGTGAAAATGTTAAACTTTTATATGGCCATTAAAGAAGCACAGGGAGTTCCTGTCTGACAGTCTGTCTTGTCCTCCCTGCAGATCGGTGCGTGTTGCTACGTTGAATGTTCAGCTCTGACCCAGAAGGGCCTGAAAACGGTGTTCGACGAGGCCATCATCGCCATCCTGGCTCCAAAGAAGAAGAAAGGAGCTCTGAAGAGAAGGCTGGGACCTCGCTGCATCAACTGCTGTCTGATCACGTGATACAGAAGAGAAAAAAAACCCAGAGATCATTCAGCAGCCGACCGTAAACCAAACCTGGACTGAATGCAAGAGAAAAATGCACAAAAGAGAGGACTGAACTTAAACACAGCAGCGCTCTTCAAAGACGTTTACTCTGTCTCCTGCTTTCCATCGAGGGGGGGGAGGATGCAGTTTACTACCAAAGGAGCACAAAACCCAGTCAGTCAAGACTCTCTGCCTCCAAAGTACCTTCTTTTATAACCATTTTTAATCATTTTCACGTGCAGAGTTGTCGTAAGCTGTAATTCAAAAAAAGACATTTCAGTTCAAAGAGAAATGTGTAATTTTTAGGAGCTCGTATTGTTGATTTCTTCATAGTACCAGTGCAGATGTGCAAATGTGCAGATGTTCAGATCGGGAGCCTGCAGCTGATAAATAACGAGAGGCTGACTTCAGTGACACTGTGACAGAAAACATTTCTGGACATGACGGCCCAGCCTCTCCGTTGTCTGCCTCTGATTATGTGTCAGTTGAAGGATCTGCAGATTTACCCACACAGGTGCTCTGCTCATCTTGGGCTTAAGACTTATTATTTTAAAGTTTGAGAGTCTTGTTTCTGCCTTATTAACCTGTTTTTATTTTTGCAGTGTGGCATGATGAAACATACTGTGAGCTAGGAGGAGGCTGAGGTCTCTTCGATGTTTATTATCCATCTTTAAAACTTATATTATACAGAATTTATGAGTCTATAGCTCTAAAAAACAGATGCTTTATTTAGCGCAGATATTCTTTGCCAACTTATAGCTTTTTTTTCTCTTTTGATTTTGTTATCCTACAGTAATGTTTTATCCTTTTATCACCTTGAAGAAGGTTTAAGAGAGAAGAAGAAGAAAGATTATATATGCCACATCCAAAGAAACGTGTCTTTAAAGTGTGGGGGGGCTGAGGCTGTGTTCAGATGAAATGAAGCACATTTTCACTCTGACTGCAGGATCATTTGTATTCGTCTGCAATGATTGAGAACAACCAGAGAATATTGAGCCTTACAGATCCACAACAAAACTCAAACTTTGAGATCATGATGTCATCTGGACATTCAAACCGTTCAGTTTGATTCCCCTCCTTCTATGTTTGGATTATTTTGACTGAGACCTGTCTTACTTAAGCACTTTGAACCCAAAGTAGACATATTTTTAATTTGATTTAATCACAATAATCAGGCTGAAAGGATGCTGAAATAACTAGAGGATGGTGCAGATTTGTAGACAGTTTGAATTCTACAATTCATTCAGCAGACATTTTTATCCAAAGTGACGCACATCAGAGTTAGAAGAACACAAGCGAGGATCTAGAGAGGAAGAGACAACGTCTGGAAGAGCAAACAAACAGCTTTAAGTCTGATTGGACACACAGGTGCAACAGGAAGTGACCCGAGGCAGAGCACAACATGGACAGCTGTTCTTGAGAGTTCTATCCAGCATCAAAACCATCCTAAATATCATCATCATCATCATCATCATCATTAAGGTCGTAGTTGTTCATAAAGAGCAGTGTCTTTAGCTTTTTCTTAAAGGTGCAAAGCGACTCTGCAGATCGAATGGAGTTTGGTAATTCATTCCACCACCGCCGGGCGACAGAGAAGAGTCTAGTTGGCGTCTTAGGGCCCTGTTGTGAAGGTTGGATCAGACGCCATTCATTGGCAGAGCGAAGTGGGCGGGAAGGATTATAGAGTTTAGGTAAGGGGAGAGTTTTGAATTTGATGTGAGCAGTAACTGGAAGCCAGCAGAGGGAGATAAGTAAGTTGTGTCTGCAATAAGAGAAGAAAACAACTCAATGGAGTTTGGCTCAACCAGAGCTGATGCATCCTCACTGCATGAGCTTTAGTGACACACCATCATGCAAATGTCCCACTAGATATCAGTGTGTGCTTGAGTTGAGACGGCTTTGCAGCACTGATTGACGGTTTCGTAGCATTACCTGAAAAATGTGCTTCCTTTTTTTTTGTCTGAACACACCTCAAAGTGACCCAGAGTATTCTGTCTAATGCACAACATGAAGCACAGTCAAATACACTTTATTTTCAAGGAAAGACAAAGCACATTCCTCGGCTTATAGCTCTGTTCATCTACAGGAACTAAACGCTGATTGAAGCACAGGAAACAAACGGATCCATCCGGCACAAACAGGAGCAAAGCACACTCTGACCACGCACAATCCAGCACGGTCGCCTATGAAACAGCTAGGAAGTGTTTACTGTAGATCTGAACTGAGGGAAAGTATCTCTGTTCTCTCCTGACAGGCAGAATAAGTTTTAAACACAAAGGCAGGTCACGTAAAAGAGAGAGCAAGCAGGTCAGTGTAGAGAGAAGGTCAGAGCCGATCGATGAGCCAATCAAACAAAAACCTTTCACCACATGTCTGACATGTTTTTTTAGGATCTTCATGAAATCTAGGGAGGTACGGGACTGTAATTTGTTATCAGAGGTGTTCTGATTTGAGTTTATACGAGTAGTATCAGTAATGTTTCGGCCGGCATTTGTGCAAAGAAAACAGATTGTGTTGAGAGCAGGCAGAACACAATCCATCGTAATGCAATCCACTGGCTTTATGAGCAGATATCTGTGCAGCCAACAATCTTTATGTCACTTCTCAAGTTTCCAGTCGGACTGTAAACAAAGGCGATGCACTGAAAAGGAAGTTTTGGAGAATGATACATTCAAGGAGGCTGGGAAATCTAAGGGTTGGTTGGCTTTAGCGGCCAGATTGTTCGCTGCTCTGATGCAGATGTCTGTTTATAAACCGTCGATGGGATGTCTTTACTCCTGCTGATACATCTTTAGTCGATACTTCTCAGACTTCAAATGTACCTCCTGAGAACAGATTCTACATTTTTATGTAGAATATGTAAACAGACATCAACAGTCAGACGATACCTGATGGGGTCAGAGATGTCCAAACAAACCTCTCGTTTCAGTTTGGACATCACATTTTGGATTATTAAAAGATTATCATAAAGTTTGAAAACAGTAAGTCAACATTGATCATTGGTTTCCAACAGGGATGTCAACATTCAGCTGGTGATGCTGCAGTGACTTTCTACAGATTTAATTTTCAAGCAACAGATGCACTAGTTGCACTAATCTTAAAACTAAAGCTGTTAAACCTGAACATTTCTTGAGAATGTTTCTGGTAGACTGCCTCTGAAATCTTCCAGAGCTGCGAATTCACACGTTGCTCACAGCTTGATGTTGACCCTTCTTGGACGGGAAGCAAGGCATAACGTCGCTGTAGAAATCTATACAAGATGGTGGACAAGGAGACAGAGTCTGAAACTATAATGACTATAATAATTTTCTAAGGGGCTGGCAGGAAGAAATGCGGGCAAAGTCAGAGCGAAAAAATGCAGCTATTTGCGTTCACACATGCAGCTCACCCTGAACAGTTCCAGAAGTTTTCAGGAGTTTTGCTGAAAACAGCATCAGATTATTTTTTTGGTTTTAATGATGTCATACTGTTTTTTTTTTTGTTTTTTTTACATCTCTCATTTAAAATGACCTGCTTACAGAAATGACACAAACTGCTGCAAGTCCCAGTCCGCTAAAGTCAGCCCTCGGATATATAGCCAACATTGGCCTCAACGCCATCTTTAGTGTCAGATTATAAACAGGTTTTCTCTTTTTGTTGTTATGAGGTCACATCCTGCTTCATGAACTGAAAGATTGTTTGTGAAGCTATTCATTTTTTGACAACGGTGTGTATAAATGTGTAACTTGATTCTGTTCTGAACTTGATCTGCAAACCGAACACGAGCTCTTCTTGTTTTGATGCACTTGTTATAAGTTTCATGTTTTTATTAATATCAAAGTGCCAACTGTTGAATGACTTGTGTCGAGTTTGTGTTGGAGTCGCTCTGATTAAAGCTTTAACCTTCTCGGTGCTCCTCCTCCTCCTCCTCCTCCTCCTCTCTCTTCCTCCTCTTCCTCCTCTTCTTCTCCACCTCCTCTTCTTCCTCCTCCTCCTCTCCTCCTCCTCTCCTCCTCCTCCTCCACCTCCTCTTCTTCCTCCTCCTCCTTCTTCTCCTCCTCCTCCTCTTCTTCCTCATCCTCCTTCTCCTCTTCCTCCTCCTCTTCCTCCTCCTCCACCTCCTCTTCTTCCTCCTCCACCTCCTCTTCCTCCTCCTCCTTCTTCTCCTCCTCCTCCTCTTCTTCCACCTCCTCTTCTTCCTCATCCTCCTTCTCCTCTTCCTCCTCCTCTTCCTCCTCCTCCACCTCCTCTTCTTCCTCCTCCTCCTTCTCCTCTTCCTCCTCCTCCGTCCCGGCCTACTGCAGCAGCGGCCAGCCCTGAACGATCGCAGCTCTGCTTCTTGTTCTCTTTGTGTGAAGGTCCCGCTCAGGATCCAGGACCTCTTAAGTGCCGACGCCTCCGATGCATTCTCCCATGATGCTCCTCTCCTCTCAATAAATGTGTTTACTGTGTTAATGAGACCGGCTCCGTGGGTTTAACTGTGGAACGCATTAGTGAGATCAACTTTGGTTTAATCCAGGAAACTAATGATCATTATGGCTCAGATGTCGCTGGGTTCATTTCATAGAATCAGAATCAGAAATTAATCCCGGCAAGGAAATATAGAAATATATAGAATAAAATAGCATTGAGTATTTGAAGACATCACAAGCTCAGGGAATTCATGATATGAACATCCATTACCTATACACTTTTCCCATTCAGGGACCCTGGACTGGCTGCCAGCCAATCACAGGGCGGACATATACAGACAACCAGCCCCACTCACATTCACACCTAGGGGCAATTTAGAGTCACCAGTTAATCTAACGAGCATGTCTTTGGACTGTGGGAGGAAGCCGGAGTACCCAGAGAGAACCCACACATGCACGAGGAGAACATGCAGACTCCACACAGAGAGGCTCCTGTCAGACGGGGATTCAAACCAGGAACCTCCTCACTGTGAGGCCACAGCGCTAATCACTGCACCACCATGCAGCACTAGATATGAACAGTACTTATAAATATACACATGCAGTGTGGAACAGTGTAGATGTTGCACATAAGGCTCAATGTTAAGAGTATCATCCAGGATGCACACGAGTGATGAGGTCGACAGAATTCAACTAGCTCCACAAAAATGTATCATGTTATTGTTAAAATGTTGCATGTATTTTTTTTATTTAAATCACCTTATTTGAGAAGGAAGTTATTAGAGTTTGACCTCTCTTTGCTATCAGCCTGATTTCTCATTGATTTACTCTTAATGCAGAAATTCAGTTGTTATCTCTTAAGCATGATCGCCACCTGCTGTCGGTATTTGAGAACATTTTTCTTTGGCTTCAGTCCACCTGGATTTTTTTTGTGTCTTATTTTGCCTTTTAATACATCTAATACCACAGATTTTTTTATTGTAGAGGTAACAGATGCAGCTCTTTTTTAAATCAACTTTATTGATTTTATAACAGTATACAAATAATCAGTCATACTCATCAACAATGACACACAAGCTTAAGAAAAATCATTCAGTAATAACATGAAACAAAAAGTTAACTCTGATGGACTCGTGCTATAAAACGTTTGTTCTCAGGTACCTGTCAGGGATCAGTA